CATCACCAAATGTTCCTTTTTGAGATGAGCGTCTTTCTTAGCCTTCATAATATGACTTCTTTTTTCTCCTTCTCTTTCTGGTCTTCTTTGTTAACTCCTTTTCTTCTTTTACTGCTTAAATGTAAGATTCCTCACAGTTCCATTTAGACACAGCTTTCTCCTCCTGCTTCACACTCAGCCGAGACGATCTCATTTGCTCCCACACCAACACTCTCATACCTTCACAAATGAAGAACAAATCAACATGGCTAATTCTGGCCTCCCTGACCCACAACCCAGTTCGAGCTCTCTGCTGAAATTTCCATATTATTGTTCCTGAACTATCTCAAACTCCATCTGCCCCACATCACACTCATTACCTGTCCCTGACAATGAACTCCCCACCTAAGTTTCCTACCCTGAACCGCTGGCATCACCTTCACTTCTCTAAACTCCCCTCTCCCCTAGTCCAGAGCTGATACACCCACATCCAAAATGATCTGTGGTGGACACAACCTTGAACTGGGAGTGAAACTTGGGTTCTACTCCTGACTGGGGCACTAAGGGGCTGTGTGACTTGGAGCTGGAACAGGGGTCTCTAGGGCCCTTTCTCACTCTACTATTCAAGGGCTCTGTGAAATGCCTGCAGCGCTCACCACCTTCACCCCTCCTTACTGGTCTCACTAACATTCGCTTAGCTCTGTCCTCATTGCTTTTTGCCTGGGCTATCTTAACTGGCATCCGAAGTGGCCTTATTTCCTTTCTCTCTCTTCTTTCTTCCCTTCAGATGGTCCTTCAGACAGCCATAAAATTACATTCATAAAACACAATTTTGATGATGTTTCTCACTGGCTTAAAAATCTTTCAAAACATTCCTGTTGGCTGTAGGATAAAATTCATAGTCCTTATTCTTACTGTTGCACACAGCCCTCTGCATGCTAGTCCCAACAGGGCATATGAAACTGAGCTTTGTGTAAGTCGGATTGTATATGTCGTTGGAGTAAGCATTTGGGAAAGTTAAGCTTCCTAACTTATTCTTTATACTAAAAGTAATAGTGGAACAAAGATTTGGGTATTAAATAGTGAACAATAAAAGTTTTAGAAAATGGCATAATAAATTTATTTATAATCTTGGAGGAGGGGAGCTCTTTTGAAGCAGGATACAAAAACCCAGATGTTCAAAAAGAAAACATGGGTTAAATTTTACCACATAGTATTTGAAGACTTTTGTATGGACAGAAAATGCCATTAACAAAGTCTAAAGATAGTGGTACTGGGGAAAAATTTTCAACACATATCACAGCCAAGGGTTTCATTTCTTAATTTACAAAGAGTTCATGTAAATCAATAATTTACAGAAATTGACAACAAATATGTTTTTTTGAAAGATGCACACTCACTAAATAATTAAAGAAATAAAATTTGAAACTATGTTTCAAATGTTTCCATTTAGAAAGGCAAACATTTTAAAGGTGATGACAGCCATTGCTGATAAGGCAATGGAGAAAAGAGCACACACCTGGATTGTTGAAAAAATTATAAATCAATACAAACTTTTGGAAGTCAATTGGATAACATCATTCAAAATATAAGACAGATGTACCCTTTGATCCAGCAATCCTACTACTAGGAATTTATGCTACCAATGAACTTAAAAAGGGTTACTAAGAATCACAACACATACACACACAGCTGTCAGTTGCAACACTGGTAATACTAGCAAAGAAGAAAAGAAAGGAAAAAACTGGAAATAGCCAAAGTGTTAATTGATAAAATATTAGATATGGTTTTATGATTGAATGCTATTTATAACACTTTCTGTAAAAGAATGTTTCTGATATGGAAATGTTCATGATGTAGTGTTAATTGGAAAATGAAAAAAGCAGTTTATGAAATAATATTTGCAGTATGAGTCTACAGAAATAGATATATGTAGTATTTCTGCATTGAAAAAAGAATGCCAGGATCTACAGCATTTATGTTTTCCTGTCATTTACACATTTTCTAAGTGCACACACATTATTTTTGTAACTAGAAAACAATTAAAAAGTTTTCAGCTTTCTGTGGAAAAGAGAAAAGCAATTAAACCATCTGTATCCTTGTATGCTCTCTATTAAGCAATAAACACTGTCTAGAGTTCATGTCATAGAAGTTTTATGAAAATTAATGATTAACTGAGTATAACTCATTGAAAGTGCTACAGCTAAAATAATCTCAAAGCTCTGTTTAGGATTTGGCTCTGACGTTAAGTTATGCTCCTGCTCATACTAAGCGATTCAACTAGCTCTATTTGCATAGCTTCATTCATCAGATGCTGTCACTTAATGTTGCTTAATCCAGGCCTGTGTGTATATAAGTGGAGTTGGAATATAACTGCATCAGCTACTACCAAGTGTTGAGACAGGAAATCTCATCACTTGAAACCAGCCCTTCATGTTTATAACCTGGGTGAGTATGACCACCAGTGTGCAAGAATATTTGTCGTGTGGTATTAGAAAAAGCCGTACAAAAGAATCAGTGATATTTATATCGCCATATATTCTGAAATATTTCTGATTTAAAAATGGGAGAGTAAAGAGTAAATGTTAAATCTGAAAAAAATGGTGACAAGAGTAATCGTATTTTTTTAAGGTGAAAGATTTGTAGGTTGTTTAAAGAAAATGCTTTGCTTTTTAGAATACGATTTGCAAATATTTCCTGACTATGCTTTTGACTTACCATGTGATTCTTAAAAAGCACCTGACTTTCTCTGTATCAGTGACTCCATTGTAAATGTGATATATTAGTTTCTTATCTACCTTGCTTGATTTAAGAGCAGAGTTCCTCCAACTGTGTTCTCTCAAACTAGTCCATGGAGGTGTTAATAGAGGGGGTGGAGGACAATACAAGCTAAATAATAATAATAATAATAATTACTTAAAATACTTAGTTAAACAAAGGTACCCACAATTGCTCAATGAAGGACTTTCAAACCCTCACTGTGCTAATGTGAGTTCTGACTTCCCAAGAGGTGGAATACGCATTGGAACATTTCCAAGATTTATTTGAAAATGCAACTTTTTTTAATGTCCGTCCAGGAGAATTTTTTTCTAGGACACAAAGATCCTTGAATATAAGGCAAAACAAACAAACAAATCCAGCAATGCAATTTTCATGTTATCATTAAAGTGTTACCTGAATACCTACTGTGTGCAGGGTACTATTTGAACTATTTTCTGTACAATTTAAAATTTAACTACGATAAGTTTACCTAACTGCACTATTCCACAGGTTATGATTACAAATTAACTACCATATTCACAAGTTCATTATTTCAAAGAAGTTGGACTGAGCATTTGAAGTTAAATTCCTAGATCTCATTATTTTCTCCCTACATTTGGAAAACGGAGGAAGGAGACAGGGTAGGGAAGCTCTGGCATAAAGATGGGAGTCAGGAGACTAGATTCTGGTCCCAGTTCTGCTATTGTGATCCTGGACAAGGCACTTAATCTTTCAGTATTAGCCTTCTCATCTACAGAGTTAGGGGCTCAGTAAAATGATGTCTAAGCTTCCCTGCTTCTAAATGTTCTTGACCAATACAGGTGGAAGAATCCAAGGAAGAAGGTAAGGATTGATGTGAGGCCCTCAAGCTGTGTGAGGATAATATCCATTTCCTAAGGGAAGATAAGATTCACTCCAGGGTCAGAATAGGGAGTTCTCGACTACCCTACCATTGAAGGATTTTGCTCATAAGACTGGCTGCAAATAGAATGGCTGTGTGTAAGATTCATGTTCCATTACAACAAGAAAATTTGGAATTTCAGCCTATTTGGGACTGTCTGGGGACAAAAATAAAGACGCATGAAGTTTATCTTCCAATGAGTTCTCTAAGCCAGGAACTCAATGCTCCTCTCTTATGTTGCTAGAAGAGCTGATCCATATGAAGTTTATAAGAGATTTAAATGACAACCACTTCTGGGATAATTTGGATTTTATCTTCTTTAATCTAGCAAAAAGAAGGCAGTGCTTAATAAAAGAAGTAGTAGCTATTAGTAGAATTGCAGGCAACGTCAGAGAGAATTTAAGACTGGAGAAGAAGTCCTGCTCCCTCCACAAACCACAGCCCCACTGCCTTATCTTGATGATGAAGCCAGGTGCAGTGCGCTTCTGAAAGAACATGGAGCTTTCTGCAATTTATGACAGAGAACTCCATATTCTTTATCCAGCTTGATAATCAAGGTACAGCATTCATTGGCGATCCTTGCCTGAATCAAGTATTACATTGGGGAGCTGCAAGATGTTGATTTTTCTGATTCTATCATTCCTACTGTAATGAATAAAGCCCTCATTCATTCATTCTTGAGAAATGCTACAGGACATGCGGATTTCTTTTTTCATCGAATGCTTTATAGTCAATTATCATCATTATTCTTTTTGATGCTTGAATTGTGCCAAATTAGGCCAGCTGGAGATCCTTCAAGGAGGCTCCTTGTGTTCTTTTGACACAACTTTATTGGTTTTTTAATGACTCACTGTTTTCTGGCACAACAGGATATTCCCTGTTCACTTCTACTTTCTCAGCCAAGATCTAGAGTCCTGGTTCCTTTTAGTGGAGAAAATATTTAGAAATTAAGATATGGGCACACTGATACTGCTGACTCAAATTTAACATTACAGGGCTTTTCTCTTGACTTATTTCATATTTGCATCTCGTTTCCCTGCAGTGAAAGTCTATAACATCAATATATCCACTTATTTGCTGTATCCTATAGTAGAGCAAAATAGTCTCAGAATTCCAATACCAATATTACCACTAACAATAAACCCACCTCGTAAAGTTTGGGATTCCTTTGCAGTTCTTTTTGTCCTCTGACTATATTCCAGTATAGATATATATTCAGAATAGTATGTTCAAATTTTACTGAGATAATTATTTTCTCTATGAGGTTATATTATCAATTTTAAACTGAGTTAAGCCACAGTCATTTCTGTTTGTTTTCAAGTGGAGACACTTGGACTAATATTACATTTTAATCCAACAGAAGCGTGAAAAATGAAGCCTAAAATGAAGTGTTCAAGCAGCAAAACTTCCCCAGCAAAGACGAACAGCTCAGCAGGCAAAGCCTTGGTAAAATCTCCCAAGTTAAGAAGTAAGCATTTCGGATTGTTTTAATAATATTATTTGTCTGTTACCAAATCTTTATGAGGCCAATGTTCACACATGCTACCTTACCAAAAGCTACTAAGAACACAAGAGCTGAAATTCAAAGGGGTAACTCATAAGTGTGTAATACAGCAGGCTTTGGTTTGAACAGACTATATACAGCCAACTTTTGCTTATATGATACATCATAGGACAGGAATGGCTCAGATGGTTTATACCTGCTAATAGTGATAAACTTAACTATAGCCCTTCATATGAATCCCTTCTCCCTACATACATCTTGAGCCGCCAAATCCTAAAAACTTTTTCCCAGACTAACGAATAAAATTGAAAACTGACCCACTTTCATTCAACAAACATTTATTAACATCTTTGGTGTATCAAGCTTGTGGTCTTGACTTGTGACTTCTGATAAAGGAGAGAATAACAAGTAAAGATATTTGAATAATCCAGGCCCCAAATAAAGCAGAATTGACCAAGTGATGCTCAAGTCTATCCCGTTGCAAACCCAAAGGGTCTAGAATAAGCTGAAGGGTAAATAAACTCAGGTAGTAGCCATAGCTTTAAGGTGAAAGGGCCATATACATCTTTGATCTTTGAAATGATCTATCCTAGGAAAGAATTATGCAAATATATACTCTTGCGTATGGAAGCAGTAATACAAAAGAGAGTTAACAGAGACCTGTTGGACTGGAGAGAAAATAGAGGATGAGGAATGATGGTGGGGACTGGTGTAGCTTTGTCCTTTGTGCTTCTGTCTGTTTCTCTGAACATCTTTAAAGCTAGAAGAGAAAGCAGTGTTAAAGGATATCGTTCTGTCCTTACTGAGGCTCTGGCCCACCCACGCTGTTCTTTGGTAACCAGGGAAAAGGCTAATTTGACTGTGTTTTCTGAATAACTAGGAAATCACCAGTTAAGTTAGTCTTACTTGCATCTGAGTCAAAATGCTCTGTGCAGAAGCAGTGACTGAGTGGAAATGATTTCGCGTCCCAGATTCCCTCTTAATAGAGAATGCATTTTCTTTTTATCCCAGGAGATGTGGTCTCCTTACAGACACTGGAATGAGGAAGCAGGCTGGAGTTTATGCCAGACTTGCTGGCATTGATGCAATAATTAAAAAGTAACCCTTCTTTTAAGGGTGCAGTGGCCCTAATGGCTTAGTTACCCCATTTAGAGAAACAGAGATAAAGATAATCCCCAAATCATTTATATGGCTTTGTAATGCATTACAATATTTTTATTGTCCCTTAGCAGATGTCCCTTTTCCATAAAAGTGGCTCAGTTTAATACTAAAATTGTTATTACTTAAATGCTCCTGGACAAAATTTCGACAGATAGCTATAAGGTATGTGACAGGTAGGAACCACTTCTCGAAACTCAAGGTGCAAGAAATGTCACATCTCATATTTCTAAATAAACTGCTCTGAGTCCCTGAGCAAGAAAGCTCATTTTAATTCCTTCTCCTCCCTTGGGCTAGCAGAATCTGACACCATCACAAAACTCAGAATCCAACCACTACAGGTATCCACACAGTCAGGTCCCATATGAGTTATGGTCACCACCAGGGCATTTCACCTTTAGTGCCAACGGAGCACAGGAATTCATGAGCTAGATAAAAGCCCTTTCCCAAATTAATCCCTTTTCCAATTTCCAGGAAGCTACTCTCCTTGGTCGGCCATTCCCCTCTGCTACTTCCTCTCTTCCATAACCATTAACCCTTTCCCTGCCCTGACAATCCAGCTTCCTTATGGATCTAGCCAGAGGTCACAATACGGGAGCCTTGGGACAGATCCACCCAGCAGAAGTATTTTATTTGGCCTGAACAGTGTTACTGTTGTTTTTTAATTGAGGCAACACTTAAAAATTGGAGAACTTTGCATAAGAATCTGAATGTATGGTTTCTCTTGAAAAATCTGAAGATCTAGCAACACTGGGCCCATATCCCGACATGGCATTAGTTGTGGGTAGAACTTAGTAGAGATCACCCCTGTTAGTTTGGGTCTGTCCACGGAAGATCTGTTACAGTGAAAGATCTTCGACTTGATCCTGTGGACTGCAGGGAACCACTACAAATTTTTAATTGGGGAATAACAAGATATTTTTATTTTAGAGCAACATGGTGTAAAGATAGAGTGAGGGGCCAAGAGTAGAAACAGAAGCTGGTCAGAGGTCTACTATATTCATCTAAGGGACTGACGATGAGTACCTGACCTAAGCCAACAGAATGGAAAAGAAGGATTGAATTTCACATACACTCAGAAGGTAAAATCAACAAGAATTAATGACAGATTGAATAAATTGAGGGATGGAGAGAGAGGGAAAAATGGTTGAATCTCAGCTTTCTGATTTAAGAATTGGGCAGACAATGGTAGATAGTGGTATTGTTTTTCAAGATAGAAAATTCAGGAGGACTGTATTGGGAGTAGAGAAAGATAAACAAGTTTTTTTTAAAAAGAATTTATGAGTATATTTGAATTTGGGGTATGTGTAGGTCATCCAGGTGGAGATGTCCATAGTTCAGGAGGATTATAGAGAGAGATGCTTTAAGAGGTAGAGATGCTTTAAAATAGCTACCATCACAATGCCCTGAGGAGCAATAGATACAAAGCTCAGGAGAGAAACCGAAGGTAGAGCTACAGCTTGGGAAATCATCAGCATACAAAAAGATGATTGAAGTCATTGGAACAAGCAAGATTGCCCAGAAAGAAAGTCTAGAGTGAGAAAAAAAGACAAAGGACAGAATCCTGAGGAACATCAACATTTTAGGAGCAGGAAGAGGAGGAAGAACTAACAAAGAGACAGAGATGGACTGACCAAAGAGAAACAAGAAGAGCCTGAAGACTGGCGACATGACAATGAGGGAAGAAGGGGTCAAAGAAGGATGTGGTCCTTAAAGTCAAATGTCACAGACAGATCAAAGGTAGAGAGCAATGAGAAGAGACCTTGGTGAAATAGATGTTTGGGGAAGAAATGAAAGATAAAGTGATTCACTTCTGTAGTTCCTGTCAACTATGGTCTAGCTCTCTCAGTGGCAGAACTAAAGAAAGATTTCCAGGCCCCTTCCCATTTACTTACCAGAAATGCCTGAAGGATTTCATCATGCTGTTTCTATGATGAAACTAGTTATGAGAATTTCCTCAAAAGCCATACTAAGATGCTGCCCTCAGACACAGGCAGAATGGAGACATAGGAAGTGACAACAGCCCTTACATAAGCTTGTACTGGCCCTTTGACCCCAGTGGAGCACTCTCTCCTACAGAGTCCCCATGGCCATGCCACGTTTGTGCTTTCCTCCCAAGAACACAACCTGTACACCACTTTCAGCTGCCCCAAACACCAAAGTATGCATTCTTCCAAATTATCCTGATGTAATGTATCTTCAGTACTTCAAATGTAGTGACCCTGCTCCAATGAATTGTACCCAGTGTTTGTCCCACCAGATGCTAACCCCTACATCCATATCTTCAGCTCCTAACTCTCTTCTTCTACATTTACAATACTTCCTCAGTATCCTGACCCTCACTTTCAACTACCCAAGACCCATGCCCTGCTGTATACAGAGTCCACTCTCAATATTAGAGATGCCTTTCATGTCTCCATGGGATACTGACTAGAACTTAAAGATGACTATATTAGGAATGAGCATGCTTGTGGTATTACTTTATGCCTTTTAGCTCTGAAGAGATAATGTGATGTACAGTTAATAAAGAATTGTATTAAATTAGTCATTGGGAAACCAAGTTCAATGCTGGCTCTGGCACAGATTTGTAAACTACCTTTGTAACTGTAAAAGAACCATATAAATGTGAGATACTGTAGTTGACATTTCTGAATTGTGATGCAATGTTAGGGAGTTCCAGGGCAGATGTGAGTATAATTAAGTGGTCTTGCCCTGTTCAGACAGTTGAAGATACTTAAAGGTAGATGTCCATCTGAATTGGAAGCAAGGTATAGATAATTCAAAATAGTAGCTAAAAAAAGTTTATTCCACTTGACTTTGAAAACCGTATTAGGAGGGAAAATCTTCTGGAGAATAAAAAAAAGATCATAGAATGGATTCCAGTCACAAGCAATTATTTCCATTTTCTGAATTACTGTGAATAATTGAAATTTGGCTAGGTTGTACAAGTTGCTTAATAATTCATTTACTAGAATGCTGAAAGTTGAGATCCTATGACGTGTGTTACAATTTTCTTTTCTATTTAACTCTGACAGGCTTTTTATGATTTCCAAGTAGCAAATTTAATTTTTTATTTGAGATTTTAATTTTTCTTGGCTAAATGAAATAAGAATTCGTGAAAATTGATTAAATTTTTCACTTCAACTGATTTAATTTGAATTTGCATTTTCTTAGTCCCTAAAATCTCAGTGCAGCATTTTGGCAGATGGAGGTAGATGGAAAGAGTAGTTTTGATATGAGGCACAGCTGAGTCAAAACTTCTCAGCAGACCTGTAACCTTGGGCAAGCGTCATGACTACTAAGAGCCTCAGATCATTATCTGTAAAATGAGAATAATACCTAGCTTGCAATATTGTTTGTGAAGGATTAAATGAAAACAGTGTGTAAAATTATTAGTACAGTGCTAATATTTGACAAGGGAGCCAAGAATATTCAATGGAGAAAAGACAGGCTCTTCAATAAATGGTGCTGGAAAAATTGGATATTCACATGCAAAAGAAAGAAACTTGACTCCTATCTTACACCACTCGCAGAAATTAACTGGAAATGGATTAAAGACTTAAATGGAAGATCTGAAACTATGAAACTCCTAGAAAAAAAAACATAGGAAAAAAGCTCCTTGATATGGGTCAGCTATTTTTAATATCAATAACTTTTATAGACTATAGCTATCCCTCCAAAATTATTAAAAGTGTATTCTAGGCAAGTAGAAAGGATTACAGATTTCATATGACTATAAGCATTCCCCCTCAGTTAGGCAAAGATTGATGTATATTGGATGCAGATCGACACTCCCTTATCAGAAATTCTGAAAATGAAATTTTTTTCTAAAGACCTCAAGTTTTTCGTAACTTATTTGGCAGTAAAATATGACCTGAACTCATTTGACAGTTAAGTCCTGACCTGAACCAATGTGAGGTCTTTATTTATTTCACTTTATGTAAATTTTCTGTTTCCCTGTAAAATTATTAATTTTTGATTATGGGGTGCTGCCGCTAGTCCCTGCTGGGAGTGTTACATGTATATATAGTTTATGCTCTACATTACAATTCTAAAGTCTAAAAAACTGAATTTTGGAACACACCTGGCCCCAAGGTTTTTGATAAGACACTGTGGACTTGTAATTGCTTTCTTGGTCTGCTACTCTCAGGGTTTGTAAAAGGATAAAGATGGATGGAAAGAAATAGTATTTTGATTTTTTTAATTATTTAGAATCTCAACAGAAGGTGGAAGAAGTTTGCCAGATATACTTTATGAAGCTACGCTCAGGCCTTCTTATAGAAAAGAAAGCCTGTTACTTTAAGAAAGAAACCACCAGAAGGCATGTACCAAAACCAGGTAAGGGGAAACTACACATCTCCTGGTAATTCTTCAATATAGTAATGGGCATCTATTTGTCTTCACTTACCATATCTGGATATACAATTTTTTTTCCCTCACCCAAATTTTCCTTCTGGAAAAGAGTAAGGATAATGAGCTATTTTTTAGCCATTTCCTAAACGGCATATAAAGAGCTTTTAATAGCATGAGAGAAATGGTTATGTTACAATGTTAAGTGAAAACAGAGGGTATAAAATTATAAATATACTTAGAATATTTTTTAATGATTTTTTTCATTTAAAAGAAGTAAACTAAAAAGTTAATAGTGATTGCCTTTCGGATGTTGAGACCATACATGACTAGTTTTCTTCCACCTAGACTCCAAAGAGTGTGCCCTACTGGGGTGTAAGTGTGCCGGGAGGTATTGATGTCTTCAGACCATGGGTGGCTGAAGCCCTGGGGTCAGTCACCACTCTCAGCCAGTAGCCTTGAAAGGGAATCCTCAAATGATGGGTCTGGGCAGATTGGGGACTGACAGTCTACTCCTACCTCCACCCCTGTCCTGCAGGTGGAAAGCAACATCTGGTATTGGCTGCCTGTGAGCAGCAGCTGGAACACCTTGAACAGTCTGTGGAGGGCTTCACTTTTGATGTGCCCATGATCCAGAGATGTGCTAGATCAACTGCTGGTCCAATTTTTGAAGGTATGACTGGTCGCAGGGGTGGCGTGGAGATGAGGAGAGAGGTAAGACACAGGACCTTGGCAAGTGGCGCTCCAGGAAGCTGCCCCAAGTGTACGTCTTTGAGTATATCAGAAACTTCTGTCCATTTGCTGCTAACATCCCCATTTAGGGATATCCAAACTGGGTACAGGACAGTTGCTCTAACAATGCATGTGCATTCTATAGTTAGCATTCCATTACTATTTTGAGATGCTTGCTGTGGATTGGAATCCCATACACATTATTCCTGAGGAAAATATATTACCTTTTGTGGAAAAAAACCACATTACCCCCAAATTTCAACATTTTGACCATGAAAGAAAAGGAAGAGCTATTATATTTTTAAAATATAATTTCAATTCTTAAACATTTTAAATAGTTGTTAAGATGATTTTTAAATTGTATGATCTACTTGTGCAAATAAAGTCCAAGTTGATGATGACTATCAAGAAGTGAAGAGATCATTAAGAAAATTTGACCAGGAATGGCATGTTGCCATTTCAAGTATTATTCCTGAAATAAATGTCTTAAGTTCTCAGAAGCAGGTAGAAATTTCTCATTTAGGTTTTTTGTGGTTTTTTTTCTGAGGAAGATTGGCCCTGAGTTAACATCTGGGCCAATCTTCCTCTACTTTGTATGAGGGATGACACCTCAGCAAGGTTTGATGAGCGGTGTGTAGGTCCATGCCTGGGATACAAACCAGCATATAACCCGGCTGCCAAAGCAGAGCACACAAACTTAACCACTATACCAACAGGCCAGCCCCTCTCATGAAGTATTTTTAAATCATTTTACTTTAGAAGTTCACATACAAATTCAATATTTGACATTCTCCTTAATATTCTGTGTGTTATTTTTCTTAGCATAATTCTATAATGTAAAGAAAATATAGAACATTTCTTCTCCCGGACCCATATAGGTAGTCCCTAAATCTGCTCCGGTTTTCCCCAGCCTGCCATAGAAATATTATCATTTTCTTTGTGTGCTGGGACATTAAAAAATGTTAGAGTCTAAGTGTCTCTGTTATTTGGCCAGAGGACGGGATGGGGCTCACACCTGAATTCTCTAGGACTGTTGGAAGTCTCTGTGTGACTCCACACCTTACAGACAGGTATTCATTTACCCATGTCTATCAAAATAGTCCCTTCTTTGTCACAGTCCCCTAGACCATGAGGAGCTAGGAAGCAGAGGTTTCCTCAGACAATGTCTGTCAATTTTCCAGCTCCTTTCTCCTCACCAAAGCCTCCCATAAGCACAGTAACATGGCCACCCACAGCCTTCATGCAGGAGAAGAGCTTCTTTAATCCTGTTCAGGTGGCACACCTCAGCCTTTGAGCTACATTAAGCTTGCACCAAAGGCTTTCATCTAACTGACAGCGATGGACAAAGTGTAGCTCAAATTGCAAAACCAAACAAAAAAACCTTAGAGGAGGCATTTAGAAAATTGCTAAAAGATTGTTCATGGAAATAAGTTTTTTGAATTCTTAATGACAAGATTTCCACTTGTTACAGAAGATTTTGCTTCCCTGAGCACATACAACGATCAATCCATTAGTTTTGTTATTGAGGATGGAAGTTATGAGATCTACATTGAAGACCTGAGTGGACAACAAGAGAAAGGTAGAATGTTTCCTTGTGTCTATAATGATGACTAGTAAAGTGAAAAATAATTTTACCAAACCATAAAAAATGTGTTAACTCAGACATGACAAACCTATTTCATGCTGTGTGCTAACTCCAACGCATTGGCAGTGGGGTGCCTGGATGTCCCTGTGCTGAGGAGGATTCAGAAGCTTAGCCAGGTTTCATCAGGGAAGAGTGCTGATATTAAGAAGTGGCATCTGTTGTGAAAAATGGAAGGAGAGACCACACATATTTGCTATCATTAAATTACCTACTAGATTTTTCCAATCTTATCAATATCACCAAAGTTCAACCTCTAGTAAAAGAATATATCAGTGCCATGAACAATATTTTAAATATTTTAATAACAACTGTGTCAGAGAATTCATCAGAACATATTCACACATTTTTGAGACCTTTCTCAAAACCACAAATGTCTTGCTTTTATTGATATATAATAAAAGAGGAGGATACTTTCTGATGTTGTGTGTATGTTGAAAGTGAAACCTTTTGATAAAATTGTATCTCACCAAAGGGATTTTGTGCATTCTCTTTCAGACCCAGTGTTATTCCGTTGCTATCCTTCTCAGTGCTCCTCAAGTGAAACAGGTAATTTGGAGAGTTGGGTAGCTGTAGTTCTTGAATTCTTAAATTTGAGGTAAAGACAGATCTAAAAATGCTCCATGGGAAAGGAAGACAGTCTCAGAAGGTTTTCTCCAGCCCAAGTTCATGGTAAAATCTTAGATTCTTAGAGGATTTACTCCATCCCATCTATCTTGTAGTTTAATGCTTAGGGTAAAGCTCTGGTTACTTTTTTTTTTTTTTTTTTTAAAGATCGGCAACTGAGCTAACAACCGTTGCCAATCTTCTTTTTTTTTTTTCTGCTTTATCTCCCCAAACCCCCGCCCCCCGTACATAGTTGCATATCTTAGTTGCAGGTCCTTCTAGTTGTGGGATGCGGGACGCCACCCCAACGCGGCTCGATGAGCGGTGCCATATCCGCACCCAGGATCCAAACCCTGGGCCGCCGCAGTGGAGCACGCGAACCCAACCACTCGGCCATGGAGCCGGCCCCAAGCTCTGGTTACTTTTAACAGAGATCCAGAATAATAGCAGCTTAAGCTACACAAAACTTTATTTCTGTCTTAGTGAAGGCTGGAATGGCAGTTCTACTCCACAGGTTGTCCATGAACCCAGCTGCTTCTCTCTTTGTGGCTCGTCCAACATTTACATGATTCAAGATTACTTGCCACCATGATAATGTCCAATCAGCAGGACAGAGGAAGACAGGTGCATGAATTCTCTTTCCTTTTAAGGACACAACCTGCAAGTTGTGCCTGACACTTCCACTCACCTCACATTGGTCAGAACTTAATCACATTGCTACACTGAGCTACAAGAAGGCAAGCTGGGAAATATCCTATTATTTCACAAGAAGAGGAGTTGGATATTGGGGGCCAACTATCAGTGGCTGTTTATGCAAATAGGGAAGCTGACACCCAGAGAAATACCCATTAGAGTCAGAATCCTACAATTAGAAAGCATATAAGAAACTAAACTCTTTTCTTCAAGGGAGTTAGAATTATCCCCTACTTAATCAATGACTCTTTAGTTTTATTTGTGTGCAAATATTTCTAAGAGACATGTTGGTGAATGAAGTCATTGTTTTACGTGATATGTTGCATTCTTTTCCAGGGTGTTAAATTTATTTAAATTAAAATGAGTTATTTTTCTTAACTTTACAATTTACATTTTTTAATTGCAAGCAGGTGGTGCTGATGGTCAGAAGTTAATGGTAAACCTGAGTCCTAAAAAATACAAAGACTTTTTGCTGCATGCCAACAACAAGGAGCACTCTGTGGAGGTAATAGAAATAAGCACTTAATTGTCATGATTGACTCCACTCATTTGTGCGGATTTGGGTGTTTGGGGTATTTTGAAGGAGTTTTGTTTGTGCTATTGTATCTAAAACACAATCAGTTATTACTAATCACCTGCTTCTGGAGTAGGAAAAGTAGGGAAATGGCATGTATAGCCTTGCTACTGAAAGTCTGGTCTCTGCCAGCGGTATGGCATCACCCAGAAGCTTGTTAGAAAGGCAGAACTTCACACTCACTCACAATTGAATCAGAATCAGCATTTTAACAAATCCCCAGGAGATTCATGTGCACATTAAAGTCTGAGAAGCACTGCTATATAGAATGATCTCAAATCCTTTCTCTTTGGCTTTAGGAAATACTGTTCTTCCAGGAATTGTTTCTTTGTAAAATATTGCTTTCTTAGGCAAATGCAAATATAATTTTACACACTGAGCCTGCTAAAGGGATGGTCATAAACATTTCCATATACCGAGATTTACAGATAGCGTAACAACCTACATTCTAATCATAGAATTCACTGAATAGTCTTCCTCAGTTAGTAAATGGCAGTATTATATGGGTCATGATGAAAAATTATGAACATCTGGAGGAACAAACAAGTCAAAGATGGAGACAAAGAAGAAAACATGAGAGTATAAATATAGAAGATAAGTTATATAAATTCACAAAAATATAAAGCTAACTAATACAGCCATGTAAGGTATTAACACAAACACTGGATGGTAACCAACATCTCCCTTAACAAAATGTTCCTAAGTGTATATAAGTGTTTGGCATATATAACTACTCAATAATAAGAGCTGACCCATACTGAGCTCTATCATCTACCAAGCACTGTGTTAAATGTTTTACAAGTACTGTCTTATTTAATTCTCATAGTAACTCTATGATGGAGTTATTGTACTGGTCAGATATTGCTGTGTAACAAATTATCCCGAACACTTAGTGGCTTAAAATAATAACCATTTATATCACTCATATGTCTGTGGATAAGTTGGAAGTTGATGCATCTAGAAAACTGGCTAGCCTAAAAAATTGAGGCTTGAGAGGTAAAACAATGTGCCCAGGTCTCAGAGATAGCACATGGCCAAAGAGGGGTACAAATCCAGATCTGCTGTATCCAGATCCAGTCATTCTAAGCCATAGTCTCTCAAAGTCTACTATCAATGAATCAAATCAAACCCCCCACTTTGGCCCTCTACTCACTTCTTTCTCCTTCACTCCTTCCCATCCCCTTCCCATCCCCTACTTAGTAAGTAGGCTTTCTAGAAATACCAAGTTGTAAATAATTATTCCCCATTAGTTTCTAACACAGGAAGGTGAAGTTGACACTAGATCTCCTACACACATAATGGTTGCTTTCTCTCTTGTTTCCTCAGCTACAAAAATGTGAAAACCCGTTCCCAGACCAGGCCTTTTTTCTTATGCATAAGACGTCGTCCAGATGTGTTTCATTTGAATGTAAGAACAATCCTGGAGTGTTTATAGGAGTAAAGGACAAGCACCTTGCTCTAATTAAAGTGGGGGAGCAAACTGAGCCTTCAAGTAGGCAGAATATCATATTTAAGCTCTCTTAAACTTAATGTGATGGGAAGCTGTGGATCCTGGGTTGGGTAGCCCAAATGGCTACCACTGCAGAAGGGATGAGACAAAAGAAAGAGGCAGGGAACATTTAAGGGAAATGGAGAGTGCTCACACGCCGTGGAATGCTTTTCTTATTATGTGTAAAAATATTTTTCGTTATCCTTCAGTTGTTTTTTACTTCCCTCTGTATCACTGTATATTCAACACAAGTATTGGTATATTAAATCGGGTATCGGTAAAGAGATCTGCCAACATTCAGAAGAGACACAGCCTGACCTTTACTTTTTTCCACTTTCAGTCCATAAAGAACTTCATATTTAGAGCTGAGACCTCTGGGAAGAAGCAAGAGTCTTAGCCCAAGTCACAATGTAGACAGGTATCTGTTTTAAAGAACTACATAGGGACACAGTTTTTCCTGGTTCCAAATAATAGGCTCAAACACTAAAGCTGCTGGTGAAAAGGCACGCAGGTTGCCCATTCCAAAAGTGGAATAAAACACCAAGTTTGTTTATAGATGCCGGAAACTTCAGATGCCTCTATGGCTAGGCAGGTAATATAAATAAGTGAAGAGGCAAGGATTATCAAAAAATTATGAAAAATAAATCCAATATTTATAAAGCAAATAATTTCACCTCTCATTGTTTCATTTTTAAAGTTCTGATTTTTGTAGACAGTTAACTTTAAGCAAGGCATTCTTAACATTAGGAAGTGAAATACATTTTAGTTCAGACCTATGATTGAAATCATTAAGAATATCTAACAAACTGAAACATTTTTTTAAAAAGCAGCAAGCCACAACATATGTTAGGTCATCCAGTCCCACAGTGGGGCCAGAAGTCCTCTGACCTCCTAGGACCTGGATGGGGCACAGGATTAACCTTACAATTTCAATATCTGGCTATCCCTCATGTTTGTGGCGTACCATGTTCTTCTGACCCTAGATCCCAGGGATCTATGACTTGATATACTCAGCACCTTGGACAAAATGTCTTCTAATCCTTTCCTCCTATGTGCACAAGTCTTTTTATTGTCCAGCTTCCCGATGACCCTGGTTACTATGGAATATTCATTTGACTTCTGTTCTGTCTTCATTTCCTTTGACCAACCATGTCCTTGATATGTCTTTTGCACCCCCTGAGCTTCATTTCCGTATGATCTGATCTCCGTATGCCAACACCTTTATTCTACTTTGTCTACCTGACATTGTAAAATTTTTACATAAATCTATTGATGGCAATATTTTTTATTAAACATCTTTGTGTTTTACTTTTAGTAAAGTAGTAAAATTTATACTCAACTATGTAATAACATTTTTCAATTACTAAATGAATAGTTTTTGCTGATTTTAAGGGCTTAGCAATTTCTACTACAATTTTTCATAGGTTTAACACTGGCAATACATGATAAACATAATAACGGAATACTTATAAAAAATGACTTCTGAAAGTGTAGGCTTTTAAATTTCTAATTTGTTGATATCTATTGGATCTAATTGCTGGTTTAACTTAAGATAAAAGAGGCTGAGAATTACTGTACGAGAGCAAACAATTGTAGAACAATATGACTTTGTTTCATTGTGAATAATTTTACTATAGAGACAAAAATAAAAGCAGAATCAATATCATCTCCTCTGAAAAACACTAAATGTTGAGCATGTGCATTTGTATGATATACTTAAATGATTATTATTAAGTAACCAAATATACCCATTACATAGTTTGTATTCTTGAATAAACAGTATTTTTAAAAGTTTGTGAGGCCATAATGGTTTTATTATAAAATGACTCAATATTCTGAAACTCTTAAGTGAAAGTAAGTAATTCACCAATGTTGGTATCTGGAGTAATTGATATTTTTGGTGATTCAAAACTAAGTAAGATCTTCCAGAGAAGAGATTGTGTCTTCTCCACCTCTGTACCCCTAGTGCCCATCATGGCGGCCAGCAGAAAGGAGGTATTCAGTGACTTTTACCCAAGATCAAACAGCCAAAGTGTACTTGCATCAGAACTTCAACCTGAGACTTCTGACTCCCTATTTAGATACCTTTCAACCTGGCTATCTTATTTTCCATGTTTAATTTTCCTTTTTTAAAAATATACTTTCCACCATCAGTGGAAGTGGTCAGTGTTATTTGATTAACATATTCAACTGTGTGGTGGCATTTTGTCACTTATTTGCTTTTTTTTTTTTTGCTGAGGAAGACTGGCCCTGAGCTAACATCCATGCCCATCTTCCTCTACTTTATATGTGGGATGCCTACCATAGCATGGCTTGCCAAGTGGTGCCATGGGATCTGAACGGGCGAACCGTAGGCTGCAAACTTAACCACTGCACCACTGGACCGGCCCTAACTTTTTTTTTCTTTTTAAAGATTAGCACCTGAGCTAACATCTTTTGCCAATCTTTTCTCTTCTTCTCCCCAAAGCCCTCCAGTACATAGTTGTATATTCTAATAGTAGGTTCTTCTGGCTCTGCTTTGTGGGAGGTCACCTCAGCATGGCTAGGCGAGTGGGTGTTAGGTCCAAACCCAGGATCCAAACTGGTAAAACCTTGGGCCACCAAAGTGGAGCACCCAAACTTAACCACTCGGCCACAGGGCTGGCCCCCTTGCATGTGTTTTGATAGTCCATAACACACATTATTGGAAGGAATTTGTCCACTTCCTTGTATCAGAAATGACAAGTATGTCAAAAGTTACTTTTCCCTCATTTTATTTATATTTTTTATATTTTATATATTTATTGGATACCTTGAAATATTGTCAAGAAAATTTTGTTTGAATGAGTAAAGTGACTTACAATTAGAAAAGAAAACTAAGTAAGAGCTGAGATTCAGGGGATTTGGGGAAAAAATGGCTAATTTAATTAGAATGCAACAGATTGACTTAAGTCTAAAAAGATTGAGTCATAACTCCATGTCTGCAGAAGAAAACAAGCCAAAAAAAGTAACAATTTCAATATTTGTGCCTCATGCTGGGAAATTGCATGATGGGTAGAGAAATATTAAGCTGGCGTACTCCAGTGGGGGTTGGGACAAGCTTGTCCCAAAACTCCTTCTTCCCTCATACTATCACCCATACAGCCCAGAAACCTCATTTTCTAGCCATTACTTCTTGAATACCATGTATACTGGTATTTAAATGCCAGTATAAAAATGCCATGTATACTGGACTCTGCTAGGCACCATGAAAGCATAAAAGAAACCTCAGCTATGTTCCTTGTCCACATAGAACTTAAAACATACACAATATGTATTAAAACTCCAACTCTGCAGTACACAGTTGCACAAAGGTGAGAGAGATTAGTGTAAGTTTGTCAGTAGGGAAAGAAATAGAAGTGAATTCTCTATCCCCATTCCCTAGTATCCATCCTGACCTATTTATATATCCATTCTCAAGGGCATCTTAAACAGGTTCCTTCTGTAGTTCTTAGGCAAAAGGGGGTAAATTCTGTTGTCCCAAATCCCTTGAAGTCAGGGTTTGGGTCAGTTAGAGGACTTAGGAATCTGAGGAATGTATGCAAGAGACAAAAGTGAAAAACCATTTGGGAGAGATAGAATCAATGACCTACTTCCTGTTAAGGTGCTAAGAGAATGAAACACTGGTCCAAGTCCAACTACAGTTCCTAGCCAAGAGGATAGTCCCATAAAAAGAATTCATAAATCACTGCCCAGCATATTAAGAACATAGGTTTGGTTTACAGGCTGTGAAACTTCAGCAAATTATGTAACCTCTCCCAATCTCTGTTTATCCTCTAAAAAATGAGGAGGTAGCAAATGTTATAGTTGTCTACATAGTATCCGCCACCACCATCCCTACCTCCTCAAAAAAGAACCTTTGTACTGGGCAGCAACAGGCCCACCTAGAAATACACTCCTTCCGAGACTCCCATGCAGTAGATGTGGTTGCCATTTGACTTTGTTCTGAGAAAAGCTTTTTTAAAGGGCACATACTCAACTGGCGTCCCCTTTTTCAGTCTTTCACCCTCTCCCCTTCTTCCTCCCTAGACCGTAGACATGAGGCTGTAGGTAGAACAGCCAACTTCTGACCATGAGATGATGAGCATGGGGACAAGGCCTACTATTAAAAACAGCAATAGGGAAAGATGGAAGAACACTGGTGTTGTGGAGAATATTGGTGTTCTTCCCAAATCCCCTAGGATTCCTTTATCCTGGATCCTTTGATAACATTCTTGATAACATTTCTGTGTGTACCACACACCCACATCACTACCACCATTTTCTGTATACTTTCAACATTCCGCAGCTGTAGCTCTTCTTACAAGGATGGCCTTTGTGATACTGATGCTGCTTTGCCTTCTTGCACAGAGTTGAAAGTTTTTGTGAGTTTACATTCCTCCCACCAGCCTCACAAGGCTTTTGAAAGTCCAGCTCCCTTGTCTTGGGTGGAACAATTCCGTCTTAAATTTCACTCCAAAATTCCCCTACAGGTTCATTCTGAAGCTACCCTCTTTTGGACTTCAGCATGACCTTGCATTCTTGCTTAGATTCCTGTCCATTCCCACCCTGCCCAACTCCCTTAGCAGTTTTTCTTGGGAAAACTCCCTCAGTAAATCACACGCTCATAAATCCCTAAGTCAGAGTCTGCTTCTGTGGAACCTAAGGTAAGACATCAGGTCACATTCCACATTGTTTTGCTACCATACTAGTTTTGTAGTATTAATGCCAGACTTTCTTGTTGAGAAAAATAAATCCATGTCTGCTTAAGCTAGTGTTGGGTTTCTGTTGAACGTGGCTTAAAGCAACTTTATCTACAGAAGAGATGATGGTAACACCTGCTTCTTAGGACACTGACAGGAATTACCTTGCACATTGTGAGTACTCAGTGAATGCTAGCTTAGGAAGACAGGGAAACCTGATTGATTTAACTGAGAAAAAGTTTTCTTAGGTACAATTAGAACATAGAAAGACACAACCAAATTCCTCCAGTATTTCAGGAGAAGTTATCCTGCAAGGAAGAAAGTAGGGGGGAAAATCAGAATGGATGAGATCTGATAGGCATAGAAGTAATCCATCAAGTTCATAGGTATTTATTTGATTACTCTTAACCTAAAAATAAGTTACATATAGTCTTTCATGTGTATCAAATATTACATTATAAATATAAAAATATATAACAGTAAAAATTAAAGAACGACCCATATTCCTTCACAAGATGATTGGATAAAAGTACAGATGTTCCAAGATATAGGAATAGGATAACTAAAAAATTATGTAATAACTCACTAATATTAAATAGGTCAGAAAAACAATAAAGAAATCAGTGAAACCAAAAGCTGGATATTAGAGAAAAGTCAATAAAATTCATAAACCTTTAGCCAGACTAATCAAGAAAGAAAAGAGATGATACAAATTACCAATGTTATAATAAGAGAGTTGGCATCATTATAGATTCTAAAGATATTAAAAGGATAAAAAAGGGAATATTATGGAAAATACTTGGCAATTTTAATAAAAATAGACAAAGTCATTGAAAGGCACAAACTATCAAGACTCACTCAAGAAGAAACAGACAATATGAACAGCTTATATACACTTTTAAAAAGTAAATTTGCAGTTTAAAATCTCATTTAAAAAACTCCAGTTTTCACTGGTGAATTCTTCCAAACATTTAAGGAAGAAATAATATCAATTCTAAATAAACTCTATCAAAAAATTGAAGAGGAGTGAGTTATATTGAACTGATTCTATGAGGCAAGCATTACACTGATACCAAAACCAAAGACATTACAAGAAAATTACAGACAAATATATTTCATAAACACAAAAATTCTAAGTAAAATTTCAGTAAATCAAACCCAACAATATTAAAAAAGGATATATAATATATATAAAGGATATGTATAGTAAAATGATATAAAAATACATCATGATCAAGTGGAGTTTATCCCAGGAATGCAAGCTTGGTTTAATATTCAAAAATCAATCAATGTAATCATCATTTTAACAACTAAAATAGAAAAACAGTCTAATCATCTCAATAGATGCAGAGAAAGCACTTGACAAAATCTAACTTCCATTCCTAATAGAAACACTCAACAAAGTAGGGATAGAAAGGAACTTCCTCAGTCTGATAAAGAGCTTAGACCAAAGCAAACTTACAGCTAACATCATAATTAATAATGAAAGACTGAACAGAAAAAGACTGAATAAGATCAAGAACAATAAAAGGATATCGACTCTCACCACTCCTTCTCAATATTTTACTGGATGCAATAAGGCAAGACAAAGAAATGAATACATCCAGATTGGAAAAGAAACAGTAAAACTGCCTTTGTTTATAAATAACATGATCATCCATGTAGAAAATCTGATGGAATCTACAAAGAAGCAAATAGCACTAATAAATGAGTTTAGCAAGGATGCAGGGTGTTACAAGATCAATACAAAAGTCAATTGCGTTTCTATATAATAACAAAAGATAACTGGAAATTAAAATTTTTAAGTATCATTTATAAAACAATTAGAAATTTAAAAATACTTAGGATAAATATGACAAATATGTGCGAGACCTGTACACTGAAAACTACCAAACACAAATGAGATAAATTTAAAAAGATCTAATGGAGACACATACTTTGTTCATGGTTCACAAGACCCCATATGCTTAAGATGTCCATTCTCCCAAAGTTGATATATAGGTTTGGTGCAATCCCAATCAAAATCCTAAGCTGATTTTTAAATTTATATGGAAATTTAGAGGACTTAGAATAGCCAAAACAATTTTGAAAAAG